TTAGATATTAAGGCACGAAGCATCTTCTACTGAGGCGTCTACAAAGTTTTGTTCAAATAAAAAGCCCAGGGGTTCCCAGGGGACATTGATTTCCTTATATGTGTATAGCAAAAATCTTAAAAATCTGTTTTGAAAAAAACCCGAATAGCTAGAATTTAGATAATAAGCATGAGACAATTTTATAGTAAGTGTCTACAAAAGGTCGTTCAAATAAAAGCCCTGGGGTCAAAACTGGCCCTGCCCCAGGTGTGTCTATTGTTTTTAACTATATGTGTAAAGAAAAATTGAAAAAAATCTTCTTTTAAAAAATCCCAACGAGCTAGACTTAGATGTTTAGCATGAAACATCTTTCTAATTGGTGTCAACCAAGTTTGTTCAAATAAAAGCCCTTGGGTTTAAAACCTGGCCCCGGCTCCGGGGCCGGCCTATATACAGGTGAGCGACTTTCAGGGCCATCATGGCCCTCTTGTTGACAGTCTGTGTTAAGGCACTTTATTTTGTGTCTCTGATTAGATGCCCTATAGACAGGCTTAGACTAAATTAAATTAAGAAAAAATTAATAATATATTTATGTGCAAGATTTTAATAACACTACTGACTTTCTTTTTTTTTTTGGAAAATAAGCGTAATAATCCAGTTTTAATATTATAGTTTATTGATATGTTTTAAATTTTTGCAGCATCTTCAACACGACTGTTAGATCATGATATCCATACATTGTTTAAAAGAAGGTTCGTTTGGACAAGTTTACAGAATATATGGTTAGGCAGTTTATGAAAGAAGAAGCCTTGCAGGCTCAGCATCAGGTACAATTTTTGTATAGTGGAGACTGTCATATGTGACTCTCCAAGGGATCTTGAGAAAAAGGTCACATATGACAGGGAGTCTCTTAATACAGTCTCATAGAAAATTTAAATTAAAAATACAACTATCTGTCTATATATCATTTGTGACTTAACATATATACTGTTTAACTGTGTGAAGGAATAATATCTAACCAACTGCAAATACACATAGGTACTTTAAATATTTTATGTAAATAAAATAAGAAATCCTGTAAAGCAAATATAATAGTATGGTATATCATATAAAATTTTATTTTATTTTTTTGTATTAGTTTAATATTGAATCATTATGGTACAAAATTAACTTGAATTTGATGCATAAATAAATATCATACTTTTAAAAACATATCCATATTAGTCTGGTATCAACATTTGTCCGTATTATCCATGCAGCCATAGAAAGGTAAAATAAAAAAAAATATTCTGCCTAAAAAAAATCATCCGTTGGAACACCATAATTTTTTAATCCAGTTTACTCAGTTCATTACACCTGTGACCTCAATTTGTTAACACAAATCGATTGCATCAGACGCTACGGACACTCCAGACGCTACGTCACTTGACACCTGCATATGTACATGTAATCAGAGGTGTGTAGAGTTTGTTTTGAAGAGTACTGACTACTGGATTATAATTGGACTTAATTATTTTGTCTCTCTGGGTGTTAAAACAGGTATTATTTATCTGATTAACGGACAATTAAAAGGTGTGAAAGTCGTTTAAATCAGACAAAGCAATGCATTGGGACCAGATAATTAGGGTCGCTTGTCACATATGACAGGGAGTCGTTTAATTCAGACCATTTATATAGGAAAATACGTTGGGAGGACTGAAACAAGGTCGGATAAGACAGGGAGTCGTTAAAATCAGGGGGTCGCTAAGGCAGTCTCAACTGTACTTAAAAATAAGACATTTCTGTGAGAAATTAAATTTTGCTAATTTTGCAAATTTGAAATTTTTATGACAAAACAATTTTTGCTGAGGCCACTGTTTGTTGATATTTCATTTCTCAGACCCATTTTTTGGCAATGAAGAAAAAAAAATGAAATTTGAAGTGAAGGTAGTATATGTCATATTGACTGTGTAATTAAACATGTTTAAAATAATACCCGAATGTCTCAAGTTATGTGTGCAAGTTATCAAAGTTGGGGGTTTGAAGTTCTTTGAGTAGCAGTCCTACAGATACACATTCACGGTCTGCCAATTCATTTTAACTGGATCATTTAAATACCTGTTTGAAACGCAGACTTTCAAGAGTCGGTAATTTTCATGATATGTTAAGAAATCTTACAAACTTTATTTACGACATTTAAATATCAATTCTGCACACTCACACGCATGCAGATATATACATACACTCTAAAAATATGGATAAAATAATGGAAAATAAGTTGCACTTACTGGAAAAAGTAATTTTATTTCTAGTTTAATTTGATTGAATAGAATTTCTAGACTACAGCCCTTTTACTACAGATAGCTTTATTTAATTATTCATGCAATATAATAATAACTGTATTATTTTTCATACTGAAATACATTAATTATAATGAAAAAGAAAAAAGTTTGAACTTAAGCTGCTATTCATTAAGGAAATGTTAAACATTTGACAAACTATTAAAAGATTTTTATTAATAATTATTTGAAAGGTTAATGTTCATGACTTTCTTTATCAAACAATAAAAAATGATTTTTGGTCATGTACAAGACCTCAGATCCCATTATTTACTTGGATTTTTATCAAAATAAAAGTTCACATATTCCAACTATTGCAAACACTACAATTCTGTAAATGGCCAAAAATCTTTATATTTCTTTCATACAGGCATTTGGAAAATTTAAACAAAAAAAATTTGTAAACTGAAGGCAACAGAGATATAGTTTTATACACTTTAAAGCCCCTGATACTTTTATTGTAACAAGACCAAAACAAAATTTTTGCTTTGTTGAAGTTCCATTAAGTTTTTCATTAATATGCTTTCTTCAGCAATCATTATTAAAACTGAGAGAAAATGCCTTAATGGAGAAGACAAAAGCAGAGTTACAATGGTTAGAGCAGCAAAGACAACGAATCCGAAACAAAGGTGCCGATGATTCATACCCTCAGATCAAGAAACGACAGAGAGGCCTCAAGATGAAGTTACAAGAACAACAAGAAGAGATTCGTAGAATGAGAGAAGAGAATAAAGCAGCAGCAAAAGAACGACAGCGTAAATTATACGAAGAAATCACAAAACGACAGGCGTCTCAGGTACAAACAGATCTAGGAATGATGATCAAAAAAGATATAAATGAATGCCTAAGTTAAATTTCAAAATTGTTTGAAGACAAACTTTTTGAAAGAGTCCACAATCTTAAAATAATGTCCCAAAATTTTTACAAAAGTTGTTGTTGTTGTTTTTAACAATAATTTGATATCTGGCTGTGTAAAGTCATGGCCCTCTTGTTTAACAGTAATTTGATATCTGGCTGTGTAGTAAAAGTATGAAAAGTTGTTGAGAAGTATTTTATAAACTATTATTTATACAGGAATAAACACCTTTATGGTCAGTAATTTGTCTCCTCTCCACTGTAGTTTCAAGTTTAGCAATTAACTTTAAGAGTCTTCATGTAAGAAAGCTATCTAGCTAGCATGCATAAAGTTGTCTTAGGGTGCCTGTCTGTGCATGAAATACAGCAAATGGGAGAACCTTATGCATCTCCAACATTAATGCCACAGTCTTGATATATAAAACTTTTACAGTGTTGGTACGAATTGAAGCTCAACCAAAGACTTACAATGTTACTTGTTCAATTAGATATTTTTTATGCTCCGCAAAGGGTGAGCATATAGTCGCCGCTTTGTCCGTCTGTCCAGTGTCCATCCATCCTTCCACTTTTCTTGTGCAGGACATAACTTTGTTACAAAAATGGGTATTAACATGAAACTTTGTAGGTAGATAGATCTCATAGGGTAGATGTGCAGTTTACAAGAATAGTAACTCTGCCATGCCTAGTCTTGAAGTTATTGCCCTTTGTTCATATGAACACTTTGAGTTTTGTCTGGGACATAATTCTGAAAGTAGAAGAGATATTAACATAAAACTTTGTATGCAGATAGATCTCATTGGGTAGAATTGCAGTTCAAAAGAACCATAACTTTGCCTAGCCTAATTTTGGAGTTATTGCCCTTTGTCCATTATTACACTTTGAACTTTGTCGGGGACATAACTCTGAAACTAGAAAAGATGTTAACATAAAACTTTGTAGGTAGATAAATCTCATTGGGTAGAATTGCATTTCAAAAGAATCATAACTCTGCCTTTCCTTATTTTGGAGTTATTGTCCTTTGTCCATTTTTACACTTTGAACATTGTCCAGGACATAGTTCTGAAGGTATAATAGATATGAACAAGACATTTTGTAGATAGATAGATCTCATTGGGTAGATGTGCAGTGCAAAAGAACCATAACTTTACCTTGCCTTATTTTGGAGTTATTGCCTTTTGTTCATATTTACATTTTAAACTTTGTTTGGGACATAACTCTTACACTATAAGAGATATGAACAAGAAACTTTGTAAGTTGATAGATATCATTGGGTGAATGGGCAGTGCAAAGAACTGTAACTATGCCTTGCCTAAGTTTGGAATATTTGCTCTTTGAATTTTTTCAGGGACATAACTCTGAAACTACAAGAGGTATTTTTGTCTGTGTCCGAAACCTATTAAAGGGGCATCACCTGGTTCAACCGGTTGTTGTTTAAATCTAAATTTGATTGTACTTTTATTTGTATCTAATATAGAATTTGGTTTGTTACAGAGTAAGACAAAGTCTGTAGCCACACCAAGAGGTAGGCTTGGACGACCAAAAGAAGTTCACACTGAGGCAGAAGTTAGCTCGGTGAGTATAAGTTCGTAAATGATAATGTAAATATCTGCTTTTGTATCATTGTGGTTGAATAATGAGTTACCTCTAGTATGCACAGATTCCTGTTTTAAAAAGAGGAGGAATAAAGCTTCAATGATTTTAATATTAAGAGACAATTCTCCTCAGGGGCATTCATGGCCAAGTGGTTGAGGTTTTTTATTTCGTACCACTAACTCACAGCTATTGGTTCCAATTTCCCCAGGGACTTTAATTTCTTTCCTGTGAGAAAGCTTTCCAGCTACCTTACCTAACATTGGTGGTTCTACTTAGGTGAAGGGCACACATAGAAAATCTGGAAAGTTGGTATGTGGCCTTTACAATGTAGATGTGACTTAAAGGAGCAATTGCCTGCAGATGCATGCTAATTTTCCTGAATATTTTGAAAATTGCATTTAAAAGTTTAATATTTTGAATAGAACAAAGATTTATTTACATATTGCACTAACAATCCACTTTATTACCGAAAAGAGATCAAAATATGCACAAATATATTATCATGTTGAATCTTTCCACTTTACTTAAAATCTTGGAACATTTTTCTCAAGTTTTCTTAAAAAAATTTTTGCTCATTTTGAGGCATGGAGCTTAAAAACATAACCAATCAAATCATGCTGACTGCTTCAAATGACCGTCACACTTAATTATTAAACAAAAAACAAAAATATTTAAAGCTTAACAATTCAAAGAATATGGAGAGCTTCTGTTCTAACTAGGGCATCGGCTTCATCTTTTAGTTAAGTTTCAAATTTAATTATTAAACAAAATGCTTTTTCAAGCTTGACTATTGGAAGAACAGGAAGAGGTATTGTTTTCACTCGGGATCGGCGTCATCCTTCAGTTAAGTTCTTGCCAGTTTGTATCTCCAAAACGATTGAAGGGAATGGGTTGATACTAATTTGGATTTTGACAGAATAATGGCCGTTTTTGAACTTAAAACATTCTACATTATCCAGGCTCTTGTAGAAAATTCTACATTATACAGACTCTTGTTTTACTATGAAGTTCTGAGAATAGTTCAACATGCTAGCCTATTAACAGTTCTCAATGAATTATTGAAAAAATATTTTCTTTGCTTTATATAGAGAATGTTTAATATAGAATTCTTCTTTCCTTATTAGTGTTGATTTATTGACCTGTATTTTTTATGTATTCTCACAGATCAGCAGTTCTCTAAGTCTTGAGCATATTGGGGGACACTTATTGTTATCACCACTATTCTTGTTCCTGTAGCTTTGGTCTAAGTAATGATATGCTCTATTTTAGATTGACGAGGCATCAGATGCCGAGAAACAGCGAAAGGATTATAAATCTGACTCTGAGATCTACACCGAGCCAAAGATAAGTGGAAGAAGATCCAAACAAAATCCTGAAAAATACAAGAAAATTCATCTGGATGAAAAGTAAGAAAATTCCAACTTATTGTCCCCCGCCTTTTCGAAGAAAAAAGGGGGATATAGAAATAGGCTCCGTCCGTCCGTCTGTCCGTCCGTCTGTCCGTCCGTCCGTCACACTTTCGTGTCCGGTCCATAACTTTGTCATAAATGAAAGGAATTTGAAATAACTTGGCACAAATGTTTATTATAATACGACGATGTGCCATGCGCAACAACCAGACCCCTACCTCCAGGGTCAAGGTCACACTTGCTCATTCAAGGTCAACATTGCCTATTTGAGGGTATATGTCGTGTCCGGTCCATAACTTTCTTATCTATGAAGGGATTTTGTAAATACTTGCCATAATTGTTCACAATAATCAGATAATGTGTCATGCGCAAAAACCAGTCACCTACCTTCAAGGTCAAGGTCACACTTGGAGGTCAAATATTAACGTAGTCTGTTACAGGGTATATTTCGTGTCCGGTATATACGTGTCCGGTCCATAACTTTGTCATTTATCAAAGGAATTTAAAATTACTTGGCACAAATGTTTGTTGTAATAAGAGGAAGTGTCATGCGCAACAACCAGACCCGTACCTTCAGGGTCAAGGTCGTACTTGCTCATTCAAGGTTAACATTGTCTATTTGAGGGTAAATGTCGTGTCCAGTCCATAACTTTCTTATCTATGAAGGACTTTTGTAAAAAATTGCTATAATTGGTTTCAAAATAATCAGACGATGTGTCATGCGCAAAAACCAGTCACCTACCTTCAAGGTCAAGGTCACACTTGGAGGTCTAATATTAACATAGTCTGTTACAGGGTATATTTCGTGTCCGGTCCATAACTTTGTCATTTATCAAAGGAATTTGAGATAACTTGGCACAAATGTTTGTTATAATAAGACAATGTGTCATGCGCAACAACCAGACCCGTACCTTCAGGGTCAAGGTCGTACTTGCTCATTCAAGGTCAACATTGTCTATTTGAGGGTATATGTCGTGTCCAGTCCATAACTTTCTTATCTATGAAGGACTTTTGTAAATACTTGCTATAATTGTTCACAATAATCAGATGATGTGTCATGCGCAAAAACCGGTCACCTACCTCCAAGGTCAAGGTCACACTTGGAGGTCAAATACTTACATAGTCTGTTACAGGGTATATTTTGTGTCAGGTCTATAACTTTTTCATAGATCAAAGGATTTTTGAAAATACTTCGCACAAATAGTCACTATAATAAGAGGATGTGTCATGCGCAACACCTGCATCCCTACCTTCAAGGTCAAGGTCACACTTAGAGGTCAAAAATTAACATAGTCTGTTATAGGATATATTTTGTGTCGAATCTAGAACTTCTTCATAGTTCAAGGGATTTTGGGAATAACTTGGCACAAATAGTCACAATAATAAGCCGATATGTCAGGTACAACACCTGCACCCCTACCTCTTAAGGTCAAGGTCACACTTAGAGGTCAAAGGTAAACAGTGTCTGTTATTTTGGTATATTTTTTGTCCGCGTACATATAATTACTTCTTCATAGATTAAGGGATTTTGAAAATACTTTGCACAAATAGTCACAATGATTAGATGATATGTCATGCGTAACATCTGTGTCCCTACCTCCAAGGTCAAGGTCACACTTTTAGAGGTCAAAGATTTACATAGTCTGTTATATGGTATATTTTGTGTCCAATCTATAACTTCTTCATAGTTCAAGGGATTTTGAAAATACTTGGCACAAATAGTCTCAATAATAAGACATTATGTCATGCACAACACCTGCTCTCCTACCTCCAAAGGTCAAGGTCACAGCTTAGAGGTCAAAGCTTAACATGATGAATTTTTAAATTCCATGTTTCATTTTATTTCTTTAACAAATTTATTGTTACATTTGCAGATCTCTAGCATTGATCATAATTTTTGACTGAATGTCCTGAGATCCATACCTCAATGCTTTTGAAATAGCACAATTTTATGCTTCATAGAAAACTCCCGAGGCGGGGACGTTGGTAAGCTCTGTTACAATTCTTGTTTTGATTTAAATATAAAGAGGATGTTACCTGAGGTTTTATATTATATAGACTTACTCAAGTCCTTAACCTGCTGGGGGGGGGGGGGCAACTGATACCATCAAAGGGTGCATCTTATACACACAGATTTTTGTTATTGAAGTTTAGAAGTTCACTACATTGTACAGTTTTTATTAGCTCACCTGTCACAAAGTGACAGGGTGAGCTTTTGTGATCGCTTTTCTTCCGGCGTCCGTCCGTCCGTCGTCCGTCCGTAAACTTTTGCTTTAAATGACATCTCCTCATAAACCACTGAGCCAATTTCATCCAAACTTCACAGGAATGTTCCTTTGGTGGTCACCTTTAAAAATTGTTCAAAGAATTTAATTCCATGCAGAACTCTGGTTGCCATGGCAACCGAAAGAAAAATCTTTAAATATCTTCTTTTAAACAACCCCTAGAGCTAGAGCTTAGATATTTGGCATGAAACATCTTCTAGTGAGTGTCTACCAAGTTTGTTCAAATAAAAGCCCTGGGGTCAAAATTGGCCCCGCCCCAGGGGGTCATTGAATTTCCCTATATGCATATAGTAAAAACTTAAAAAATCTTCTTTTAAAGAACCCAAAGAGCTAGAGCTAAGATATTTGGCATGAAACATCTTCTAGTGAGTGTCTACCAAGTTTGTTCAAATTAAAGCCCTTGGGTCAAAATTGACCCCGCCCCGGGGGGTCATTGATTTTCCCTATATGCATATAGTAAAAACTTAAAAAACCTTCTTTTAAAGAACCGTAAGAACTAGAGCTTAGATATATGGCATGAAACATCTTCTAGTGAATGTCTATCAAGTTTGTTCAAATAAAAGCCCTGGGGTCAAAATTTGCCCCGCCCTAGGGGGTCATTGATTTTCCCTATATGCATATAGTAAAAACTTAAAAAATATTCTTTTAAAGAACCCAAAGAGCTAGAGCTAAGATATTAAGCATGAAACATCTTCTAGTGAGTGTTTACCAAGTTTGTTCAAATTAAAGCCCTGTGGTCAAAATTGGCCCCACCCCGGGGGGGGGGGGTCATTGATTTTCCCTATATGCATATAGTAAAAACTTAAAAAATTCTCTTTTAAAGAACCATAAGAGCTAGAGCTTAGATATTTGGCATGAAACATCTTCTAGTGAATGTCTACCAAGTTTGTTCAAATAAAAGCCCTTGGGTCAAAATTGACCCCGCCCCAGGGGGTCATAGATTTTCCCTATATGCATATGGTAAAAACTTAAAAATTCTTCTTTTAAAGAACTCAAAGAGCTAGAGCTAAGATATTTAGCATGAAACATGTTCTAATGGGTGTCTACCAAGTATGTTCAAATAAAAGCCCTGGGGTCAAAACTGGTCCCGCCCGGGTGGGGGGATCATTGATTTTCCTTATATGTGTATAGCAAAAACTTAATATCTTCTTTGAAAAAACCTAAATAGCTAGAGTTAAGATATTAAGCATGAAACATCTTTAAGTAAATATCTACAAAGTTTGTTCAAATAAAAGCCCGGGGGGTCAAAACTGGCCCTGCCCCAGGGGTGTCATTGTTTTTAACTATATGTGTATAGTAAAAACTTTAAAAATCTTCTTTTAAAAAACCCAATGAGCTAGAAATTAGATGTTTAGCATGAAACATCTTCTTATGGGTGTCTACCAAGTCTGTTCAAATAAACAAATAAAAGCCCTTGGGTAAAAATTGGCCCGGGGTTGGGGGGGCCTATATACATGTGAGCGACCTCAGGGCCATCATGGCCTTCTTGTCTTCGGAAGTTTTGATACTGTTGAGGTTATTGCTATACAGAGGGTTGCTCCGTTGAGGATGCACTGTCTGTTAAATGTTTATTTAAAATAAAACTTACTGGTCATATTTCATTGAAAATACAAACATGATGTCATATGAGTGTGTATAAAAATGAATACATTTCCATTTTAAAGGTTTTGCTGTTAACTTTTTATATGCCCGAAAGAATTTTGGGCATATTATGTTATACCCTTTTGCGTCCGTCTGTCTATCCGTCTGTCCGTCCGAGCCAACATTTGATTATTATGAGCTTCATTCCGTAGTTAAATAAAGAACATAAACTCATAAAATTTAAAATTAAGAGCTTTTTTTTGTTTTTATGAGCTTATTTTGCTTATGGACGTTGGTCCAGGTGGTGTTTATGAGCTCATTTGCCTCATAAACATCAAATTTTGGTATGTCCGTTAGCAATTTGGTTTCCGGAACATAAGTTAAGTTCCATTTTGCCCATAACATTCAGACTTCATAGGATGATGCCCATATTGGGTAGAAGACCCCTATTGATTTTGGGGTCACAAGGTCAAAGGTCAAGGTCACTATCACCTTATAACTGAAAAAGTTTCCGGAGCATAACTTAAGTTTCATGTGGCCCACAACATTCAAACTTCATAGGATGATTGTCCATATTGGGTAGAAGACCCCTATTGATTTTTGGGTCACAAGGTCAAAGGTCAAGGTCACTATCACCTTAAAACTGAAAACAGTTTCCGGAGCATAACTGAAGTTCCATTTGGCCCACAGTGTTCAAACTTCATAAGATGATTGTCCATATTGGGTAGAAGACTCCTATTGATTTTGGGGTCACAAGGTGAAAGGTCAAGGTCACTATTACCTTAAAACTGAAAACATTTCCCAGAGCATAACTTAAGTTCCATTTGGCCCACTGTGTTTAAACTTCATAGGCTGAATGTCCATATTGGGTAGGAGACCCATTTTGATTTTGGGGTCACAAGGTCAAAGGTCAAAGTCACTATTACCTTAAAACTGAAAACAGTTTCCGGAGCATAACTTAAGTTCCATTTGGCCCACAATATTCAAACTTCATAGGATGATTGTCCATATTGAGTAGAATACCCCTATTGATTTTGGGGTCACAAGGTTAAAGGTCAAGGTCACTATTACTTTAAAACTGAAAACAGTTTCCGGAGCATAACTAAATTTCTATTTGGCCCACAATATTCAAACTTTATAGGAGGATTGCTATTGGAAGGAGGTAATACTTTATTTAATTTATGTAATGTCTTGCAAATAAAAAAACACTTTCGTGCATATAATGCTCCGCCTAGCGGTGCTCTTGTTCTTATAGCTCATTATTATAATTCCACTGAAACATTGTGACTGTGAAAGCAAAATATTGCTTAGTTTAGTGTAAAATTAAGATGATCTCTTATAAGAAGTGTCTTGCAGGCAAGTAATATGATTCATTCATGTAAGCTCTTGTTTACTTGCAGATGTTTAGGATCTTACAATGAGTTATCATTTTATATATTTAAATAAAAATTTCTATAAAAGTTTTGAAAGCTTTAAAATTTATATAAAATAGAAGAAAAGGATATCTTTTTTGATAAAATAAACATCAAAAATTTTCTTGTTTTTTAAAGGGTATTTGAAAACCAAAAGGACATTTCCCGTTAATGGATAGGGGGAAGAATGCAAAAAGAACTACTAAAAAGGAAAATGCGGAAAGGAAAATTAATGGGGATTTAAGGAAAAAAGCAGAAAGTTTGGGAAAAAAAGCCAAAGAGGAAAAAAGGGAAAAAACCACCGAAAAGTCCCGGCAAAAAGTGAAAAAAAACCGTAAAGTAAGAAGGATAAAGGGAAACCCAAAAAAGGGTTTAATTTAGTCCCTTTTTTATACATAAAAAACCCAAATTGTTTTTTAAAAAAGGGGAAATCTTGCTCTTCAGACTTTGAAATTTATTTGGTTGGGGTTTTTCCCAAAAGCCCCTTTTAAATCACTGTTCGTAGGGACTCAAGTGACATTATAGGATGAATATCCATGTTCTATTCATACTCCTTGTAAGACAGGTTGTGTGCTTTAATGGCATCATTCCCTAATCAGCAACCCTTTTCTGAATGAATTGCTTTTTTTCTGCTGTTTTGAATGAAGTTGTAAATTCATATGCTACTATAAGAACAAAATTGCTTTATGAAAATATTATTATAATAATTCATAATTTCTCCCCAAATTATAATAAATATGTATTGAGATTTTACATTTTGTTTTTTTTAGTGTTTAATAATAAAATAACACAATATTTGCTAAGAAAACATGATAAATTTCATGGGTAAATATTAGATGGCTGAGTATGGTTGCCAACTTGTTGACTTCAAACTTTTTGGATGCTTTTCATGTTAGGGAGTTGTCAAATTAGGTTATGAAAGGTCAGTGGCTATACTCAGCTTCCTATCGTGCCTGAAATAATGCCCAGAAGGGCACCTAAGGCCTGGCTTCAAATTTACCATGAGATCTCAATAGTGTCGGTGAGATATAAAACTGTAATATCAGAAAGAGAAAGATTAGAATAAATTAAATAATTTATTTTTCTAGATTCTACAATAAAAACAATGTCAGTGTCTCAGGATAGAGATAGTACTGTAATTTCTGAAACAATAACAACTGCTCGTGATGAATCACTCTACACCAGCATCAAGGAAGACATAAAGACAGCCAGTCTCGAGAGTTCGCCAGAGGAGATTCACCGACGAATGATGAATGACAAGTCTAATATTAAGAATCATAACCGAAGTGGTAGCGAAAGCTCTGTCATGGAGGATATTCAATCAGTGTCTAGTGCTGATGATTCTAAAAAGTAAGTGTTTATAACTTTTATGAAGTGGAATAAGCTCTGTCTTAATTTCTAAAAGCAATTGCAAGATAAAGTGCCCAGTTATATATGTCTAGAATCATTAAAGAATAAGCATTAATAGAAAAGTTGTGGAGCTGTTTTCTGCAGAAACATAAATTACAATCTAGTTATCCTAAGTAAAGTTATTACTTAATGTATCATGAAATATTATTAACATAATCTTTATTGTTAGATAATCTTTCCAAAGAAATTATTCTACAGGTCATTGGTTAAAATAGCAAAATAAAATGGTGGGCTATAATGAAATATTTTGCTTTATCTTGTGTCTATTTCTAGCATTGGTGAGATTTTACGCCTTAGTTTTTTGTTGTTTGCAGGATGAATGATTCAAGTGATGACACCATGACACACAGCTATGGTAACGAGACCTTTTGATGACACAGCCACTGCATCCAAAAAGACAAGCAAGAGTCAGACCACATCCAAGTCTCCTCTTGAGAAACTAAAAAAATACAGAGGCCTGTCCTCCCCTGGAAGGTCACCTAGGGGTTTGTTTAGTTCCAGAAGTCATTCTCGAAACTCCGAGAGCGAGTCCGAAGATTCATTTTCGCTGAATGGTAAGTTAAATATTCTATGTTGTAATTATACCACAGATTGTCTGAGAAGTTAGAGAATTTTTTAACGCCCATATATTAATTATTATGGTGGTGAGGGTGAACAAACCTAAACACACACAAGTGAGGCAAAAAATTTCTGGGACAGCTGATGTAAGACTTGGAGCCTAATGATTATGTAACTTTACTGCTGATTCAGAAATCAGAGATTGAATCGGGATTGAAATGGGATATGACTAGTTAATTATCCAGTAAGGCTTGTTAGGTGGACTGACCACCAAGTTACAGCCAAGTAATGTGTTAAAATTGGCATAAAACCAAACATACAAAATGCTTTCATTTCTTTTTGAGAATCAAAGAAAGAGAAAACAATATAGAGGATAAATTTCCGAATAAGAATCACTGATTTTTACCTCTAGCTTGACCATTTGAATAGTTATTGCTCCATACTACTCTTTGTGGCTTAGCAGTTGATTAAAGTTTTGCATGGGACAGATAAAGATTTTACTGAATTATTCCCCATTAGTTAACTTTGAAAAAGCATGTACAGTTTTTACAATAAAGATATCTTGTTATATTTTGTTACTTTAATTTACTTTTATTATGAAAGGAATATGGAAAATATGAGTAACATGCTTATGAAATAGATGTTACGTGGTATTGAAGAAATCTTGCAGCCACTAGTAATATCTTTTATTGGCTCGGTATATTCTGAATTTTAGTGACTTTTACGTCTTCTATGTACAGACACATTGCTAATATACTTGTTTGTACATTTCCAAGTTTTTTTATAAAGAATGTTAACTTGTGTGTGCTGTTTATAGAATCGCAGTCCGAGTTGAGTGACTTTGAGGGCAGAATACGGGCTTTGAATGAAGAACTGAGAAAAAGGAAAACTGAGGCCGATAAGTTAAAACGGGAGAGAAAGAAGAAAAAGAAGGAACTGATGAAGAACAAAGAAGAAACTTTAAAGAAACAGATTGAGGTAATTGTTTGAAATTTCGGCAGATGCCGATTTTGTTTGACTCATTATCACATGATACAGTGAGAACATGATGTTATTGAGCTGCTCTTCATTGGATGTAGGATGATGCTTGCAGTGTAAGATATTTAGGTCAGATGACTAATTAAAGTGTATGAAGCTATATCTGATGAAACATTTTATAAAACTAAAAAGTAACATTTTGGTGTTTTCATAACAAATAACTATGGCCTTTTCTTGAAAGATTTGTAACATAAAATGTCTTTGAAATTTAATGAACATGAATGATTTGATGTAATCAAAGTAAAATGTACTGGAACAAATTATTCGGCTTTTTAGCTCACCTGTCACAAAGTGACAGGCTGAGCTTTTGTGATCGCTTTTTCGTCCGGCGTCCGGCCGTCCGGCGTCCGTCCGTAAACTTTTACTTTAAATGACATCTCCTCATAAACCACTAAGCCAATTTCATCCAAACTTCACAGGAATGTTCCTTTGGTGGTCACCTTTAAAATTGTTCAAAGAATTTAATTCCATGCAGAACTCTGGTTGCCATGGCAACCGAAAGAAAAAACTTTAAATATCTTCTTTTAAAAAACCATAACAGCTAGAGCTTAGATATTTGGTATGAAACATCTTCTAGTGAGTGTCTACCAAGTTTGTTCAAATAAAAGCCCTAGGATCAAAATTGGCCCCGCCCGGGGGTCATTGAATTTCACTATATGCATATAGTAAAAACTTAAAAATTCTTCTTTTAAAGAACCCAAAGAGCTAGAGCTAAGATATTTAGCATGAAACATGTTCTAATAGGTGTCTACCAAGTTTGTTCAAATAAAAGCCCTGGGGTCAAAATTGGCCCCGCCCCGGGGGTCATTGATTTTCCCTATATGCATATAGTAAAAACTTAAAAAATCTTCTTCTAAAGAACTCAAAGAGCTATGGCTAAGATATTTAACATCAAACATGTTCTAATAGGTGTTCTACCAAGTTTGTTTAAATAAAAGCCCTGGGGTCAAAAATTGGCACCGCCCCGGGGGTCATTGATTTTCCTTATATGTGTATAGCAAAAACTTAAAAAATCTCTTTGAAAAAAACCCAAATAGCTAAAGTTAAGATATTAAGCATGAAACATCTTTTAGTGAGTGTCTACAAAGTTTGTTCAAATAAAAGACCTGGGGTCAAAATTGGCCCCGCCCCGGGGGTCATTGATTTTCTTGATATGTGTATAGCAAAAACTTAAAATCTTCTTTGAAAAAACCCAAATAGCTAGAGTTTAGATATTAAGCATGAAACATCTTCTAGTAAGTGTCTACAAAGTTTGTTCAAATAAAAGCCCTGGAGTCAAAACTGGCCCGGCCCCAGGGGTGTCATTGTTTTTAACTATATGTGTATAGTAAAAACTTTAAAAAAATCTTCTTTTAAAAAGCCCAATGAGCTAGAGCTTAGATGTTTAGCATGAAACATCTTCTTATGGGTGTCTACCAAGTTTGTGCAAATAAAAGCCCTTGGGTTAAATTGGCCCTGCAACATTGGGTGGGGGTTGGGGGGCCTATATACAGGTGAGCGACCTCAGGGCCATCATGGCCCTCTTGTTTAGCTCACCTGTCACAAAGTGACAGGGGTGAGCTTTTGTGAACGCTTTTCATCCGGCGTCCGTCCGTAAACTTTTACTTTAAATGACATCTCCTCATAAACCACTAAGCCAATTTCATCCAAACTTCACAGGAATGTTCCTTTGGTGGTCACCTTTAGAAATTGTTTCAAAGAATTTAATTCCATGCAGAACTCTGGTTGCCATGGCAACCGAAAGAAAAAAACTTTAAAGATCTTCTTTTAAAAAAAAACCCAAGAGCTAAGGCTTAGATATTTGGCATGAAACATCATCTAGTGAGTGTCTACCAAGTTTTGTTCAAATAAAATCCCTGGGGTCAAAATTGGCCCCGCCCCAGGGGGTCATTGATTTTCCCTATATGCATAAAGTAAAAACTTAAAAATTGTTCTTTTAAAGAACCCAAAGAGCTAGAGCTAAGATATTCAGCATAAAACATCTTCTAATGAGTGTGTACCAAGTTTGTTCAAATAAAAGCCCTGGGGTCAAAATTGGCCCGCCCCAGGGGATCATTGATTTTTTTCCTATATGCATATAGTAAAAACTTAAAAAATCTTCTTTGAAAGAACTCAAAGAGCTAGAGCTAAGATATTCAGCATGAAACATCTTCTAATGGGTGTCTACCAAGTTTATTCAAATAAAAGCCCTTGGGTCGAAATTGGCCCCGCCCCGGGGTCATTGATTTTCCTTATATGTGTATAGCAAAAACTTAAATAATCTTTTTTGAAAAAACTGAAATAGCTAGAGTTTAGATATTAAGCATGAAACATCTTTTAGTGAGTGTCTACAAAGTTTGTTCAAATAATAGCCCTTGGGTCAAAATTGGCCCCGCCCCGGGGGGTCTTGATTTTCCTTATATGCATATAGTAAAAACTTATAAAATCTTCTTTGAAAAAAATAGCTAAAGTTTAGATATTAAGCATGAAACATCTTCTAGTAAACGTCTACAAAGTTTGTTTAAATAAAAGCCCTGGAGTCAAAACTGGCCCCGCCCTAGGGGTGTCATTGTTTTTAACTATATGTGTGTTAAGTAAAAACTTAAAAAATCTACTTTTAAAAAACCCAATGAGCTAGAGCTTAGATGTTTAGCATGAAATATCTTCTTATGGATGTCTACCAAGTTTGTTTAAATAAAAGCCCTGGAGTCAAAACTGGCCCCGCCCTAGGGGTGTCATTGTTTTTAACTATATCAAAATATGTGTGTAGTAATAACTAAAATAAATCTTCTTTTAAAAAACCCAATGAGCTAGAGCTTAGATGTTTAGCATGAAATATCTTCTTATGGATGTCTACCAAGTTTGTTCAAATAAAAGCCCTTGGTTGAAAATTGGCCAGGCCAGGCGGGGAGGGGGGGGGGGGGCACGGGGGGCGGGTGAGATCATTGTTTTTCATTAGTGAAGTAAAAACTTAACATTGTGAAACACCTTCTAATGAGTGTCTTTCCAAGTTTGTTCAAATAAAAGCCCTGGGGTTTAAACTTGCCTCGCTCTGGGGGCCTATATACAGGTGAGCGACCTCAGGGTCATCATGGCCCTCTTGTTTTTATTAGGTTTGCCGATGACAATATAACTTAACATGTTGACTCACTTTCAATAAAACATGCTA